AACAACAATAACGTTTTGTTCAGAGTTACAAACAACCTCCTACTTCAAAGGTGCTCAGAACTCTGAGGTTCTACTGCATATGGAACAGTAAAGTAGTTTTGGTGGAGGGTAAGTTTTCATAACAGATGGAAGAAAAGGTTTAGGGAACATCCAGGTGACTGGCTGAGTTAACGTTTTGCTAATTATTATTATGATTATGTTTACTATAAATTATAGCTCATTTGCTGAGCAGTGCTGATGTTCTTGCTGCTGTACAGGACACGCAGACATGTTCCTGCCTAGTGGACCTTAAAGTCGGACCCCTGTTCTCCTGGGGTATTTTGGATTCTCCTCTTCATCTGGCTGTTCTTTCTCTTTTGAAAAGTGCTTTTCCCATGATAGAGCAAGTGTTCAATTCCAAGGTAGCAAATGTCCTCTGTTAGGCATGTTCTTCAGTGTTTTTAAGCCTTATGTTTACATGCCTGTTTACAGTTTACTATGGTAACATTCAGTTCCACATGAAATATGAGTCTGTTGCATTCAAGGTGCAAATGCCAGAGTAAAGCCCTTAACTCATGTAGCCTGTAGTGGTACATGGATGTGAAATTTCATGCACACTAATCCCTGTAGCTGTTCAGCTAGCAGTTATTTATCCTGATTCAAGGATCCTAAGTCACTGTGAAACATATTCTCAGTATGTTTTTACATTTTACCCCTGTTTGCCCCACATAGATCTCATTCATTCCCCTTTCAAAAGCAGCTGCTGCCCCCAGGACCTTTTTGCTTTTAAAACAGAGCTAGTAGGGGTGATACCACTGTTTGCTAACTAGTATTGTGCATGCAATTATAGAACTGTTGTGTAATGCTAAGACTTAAAAGGTATACCTCTTGTAGGTCTGTAGCTGTTTTGGGAAGGGACCAGGGTGAGCTTTCTCTAGCAACAAATAAAGTTGTTCTATCTTATGTAGCTGTGCTCACGGGACTCAGGAGTGTCTTACTGATGGAATGTAGATTTTGAAAGAGCCTGCAATCCATTTCCCCCCCTTCCTCTCTCCACAACTGATAGCAGCATTTGGTAGGAATATGCAACTCATAATGTGATGGGTATCTTGTTCTCTGGCTTCCCAGATTACTTCCAAATAGTGAATGTGTTTCAGATCTTGTGCCAGTGCAGTTTTTGTCCATTGATATGGCATGGCCCAGTATGTGAAACACTTGCCCTCTAAGTGAATGTTGTAGTCTACTACAAACAAGCTGTTGTGTAGTTGGGATTTCCAGGTTCTCCTGTTCACGGTTTTTGATTATTTTTAATGTAGTTAGGTAAGTCATGTCTCCCCGAACAAGCACTTCTGTGTGGTTTTAACATTTTTGTAAAACATTGAAATGAAATCCAAAATGGGGCTTCTTGGTATCTTGCTACTCCCTGGTCTAACAGCCTCCCAGCAAAGGGGCAGTGAGGAATCCATTGCGCTTTCTGAAGCCCAATCATCCCAGGAATGAGTTTCTGGCCAAAATGAGGAATCTGCAGAGAATGTTCAGTATTGCAAAAAAAAAAAAAAAAAAAAAAAAAAAGTGACATTTGGTCTGGTTTTTAATCAAACCTCGGGAACATCCTTACAAAGGTGTTGCTATGTGTGTTTCCATGCCACTCTGACTTGGTGGCTTATGGTATCTACCCTTCCTTGACATTGGCTGTCTTTGTAAATAACACTATAGCAAATCAAAGAAATATCACCACAGATTATGTTGTACTGTGGTTCTTTTCTAGTGTGAAATGCCAGCTCTAAACAAGAAAATTTGTTGGTGGATCCCCAAATCATGGATTCGTTTTTGCTCATCTTCTGTTGGCACACTGTAGCTGTCACTCTTGCATTGCCAACTGTCCTGGTTATTTTTGTTAGTAGGGGCGGAGTTTTGGTTAGCATGGACCATGCATATTTTGTGTGTGGATGTGTGCTGCGGAGGGTTTTGACTCGCAGCATTGCTACAGATGCCTGCAGCATCTGTCTGTGGTATTCCTTTCTGTCTTTGAGAGCAGACTCCATTTTGCTCACCCTTTTACTCTGGCATGGTTTGTGGATAGTGATGCGGTGAGAGCTAGCTTTTCTCTCTTCAGACTATAGCAGTGTGCAGCTGCTCAAACAGTTTGCAGAACAGACGTCTGTCCTTATCCAGGTGCTTTCAATTAAACAATCTATTTCCATGTATGATGGACACACATTGCTCTCATCCGATCAAAGCCCAGTCCCTTTACTGGCACTCTTTAAAAGAGCTTTTTAATTTTTCCAGTGTAGCTCAATATTTTAAAAATGTAGTTCAAAACTGGGAAAATGAAGTGTTACTTTTCATGAAGTGCCTGCCTATTTCAGTTCCCTGGCATATTTGTGTAGCCAGCACTATACCCTTGTTGGGTTTCCACAGGCAAATCCCTTGAGGGCTAGAGGGGAAGTGTTTCGTGATGGGTGTGTTCTTTGGCTTCAGACAATAGACCTGACTCTTGTGTCTGATCTGAACCTTGAGCCTTGTGTGCTCTGTCTACATGTTACTACTGGATCAGATAAGTAGAAAGGAGTTCAAGGGAAGAAACACTACTTCTGTATACATAGACAAGCATGGGACTTTTTAGAAGACACTTTACTCTGGCATTCAAAAAATTAACTTTGTTTTCACCTAATCACTTTTTTTCATTGTTTAAAAATAGCTTAACTTTTTAATGAGCACCTATTAAAATGCCAGGCATGAGATTAAACAGATTTTCATCGCAAACTAAATGTTCTCCATCTAAGCAGAAAACATATCCATCTTTTAGAAGCTGATGGATCATTCACATTGTCTTTGATGCTAGTTTCATAACAATGAAGACCCAGTTTCTATGCAGTTGGGCAGCGTGATCAAACATATCACAGTGTCTAGGTCTAGAGCTGGCATGTGAGCTTAGATAGCTTCTGTGGAGTAAAGTGGATGCAGAGAGTGAAACTCAGGCTTCTGTAACAAGAAGATGGGGATTCAGACTAGTTTGAATGAGGCTAGGGAAGAGGGCAGCTTATGTGTCCATCTCCGACCAATATGCTTTGGATTGTGCAGGTGATGATATATGTGGAGTTTCATCTTTTGGAATGTGATGCACTGATACCTTAAATACCGGCACATATAGTTGGTGAGGCTTGCTGCAGAGGAGCAGTTTAACACCACTGCAAAGAAGTGATGGGGAAGCAGAGGAAAGGCGGCTGTCTGGGGTGGAAGCAAAGGCATTCTTTGTGATATGGAATTTTTAAAGATCAGCTGGATGGAGGTGTAGTAAAGTTTGCTAAATTAGAAACGTTAAAAACTGTAGGTTGCACTTCATGAAAAAGTATCCTACCTGAACAATTAAGTGTCCAAACACTTAACTAACTGGCAACTGCCTACAGTGGGATTTTTACAAACCATCCTGTCCTTGCTGATGTTCACTACTCCACTTATTACATGTAGTAGGGTAATATTTTGTTATGCAAAAAAAAGCACAAAGTAAATTGCACTGCTGTCAGTTTCCTTCTGTGTGGGTTTCTGATGGATGCTTCAGTTGATCATGAATTAATAATCTTTTTGGGAAAACACTGAGATCAAGGAAGGCTTTTTTGTTATTGTCTGCTGAGGTTTTTTTAAATTAAATAAGCCTCCTATCCCCCACCCCCATTTTACATCCTTTCCCCATGGTTTCTGATGATGGGCATTGGAAGGTACCAGTGATTTTTCTCTGGCACGCTGAACTTCTTGGCTGTGCTTTACTGCAGGTGGAAAAGTTTTGCTGGCTTGACCCTGCCAGTCATCTGTTCTCAACTTTGCTTTGATCAAAGCTGGCAAAGTTTGCTGGTTCCTTACAGTTTTCTCACTGACTTCCTACCCCTTGAAGCCTCTCCCACTTCTATACTGAGGTGTTATTCATAAAAATGAATTAAAATAATCCTACTTCTTGGGAGTGTGAAGATTGAGCCTTCCCATCTGAATTATTATTCCCCAGCAAAATTTTATGTTAAAGTAGAGTTAAAGATAAGAGTAAAGATCAGTAGTTTAGGGTAAAATATATTGCAGGGATGTTGTAATGATCCCAAAACTAAGCATTATAAACAGGAAATTCACTATTAAGGGTCACCATAAAAGAAATCAAACATGCTAAGATAAGGAAATGCACAATTAGGGCACCCCAACAAACTTAACTTTGCCTTGTACTGACCCTGTGTCATAACTGTGTGATTAAGACATTGTCAGTGTTTGTGGTCCCAGATAAGATTAAACCAATTTTTATGGGTTCCTTAAATTATTTTCTTTCCCTCCCCCCCATTATAGTTCAGGGATTTGGTAATTATGTGCACCCCTGGTTCAAATCCAGTCCAGATCGGGGGTGACTGAGCGTTGCTGGTGGGTGAAGTGTGTGTGTATGTGTGTCTCTTGCACTGTCGCTGCCTGTGTGGTTCCTGTTCTGTTGACAAACAGGATTTCAGTATTCAGGCTGAGTTGGGCACCTTTCGTCAGCACTTAACCTGGCAGCCTTGCTGCTTGTATGTTAATTAAGATGCGGTGTCGACAAGCTGAAAGTCATCTTTTGACTTGTAAACTGAACAAATGGCAGCTGGGAATTTCTGGGGACTCAATCCAGGATTCCAGGAAGCTGCTTTTCCAACTAGTTGCTGATGCTAGGGTGGGCATTCAGATACTATAGGAAGAGGGGAAAATATGAAACGTCAAGATCAGCATTGCACACTTCAGTGGCATATGTTCTTTTTTCTCATTAACAATCAGAAAATTAAATACATCTCCTGCATGTTGATGGAGCATAGTCTGTACAAAAGTGGGAGAATTTTTCTGAATCAGCTAGACAATTCTTAAACTGGGAGCTTTTTGGGACAGGGACCATATGTTTGTTCTGTGTTTGTGCCTAGCACCAAGGGGCACTGGTCCTTGATGAAGGCTCCTACACAGTATGGTGATACAAATAATTAAAATTAATTCTGAATAGTCACATTTCTTTCTTTCTTTGCCAGGTTGCTATAAAGATCATTGACAAGACCCAGCTGGATGAAGAGAACCTCAAGAAGATTTTTAGAGAAGTTCAGATTATGAAGATGCTCTGCCACCCACATATCATCAGATTATATCAGGTATGAGCATTGTATAATGGGCTCTTCCCTCCCGGTGCGGGCTGTGCTACAGGCTGACCCTGTGCAGTAGTATCACATATAGGGCGGTCTCTATACTTTCAATAGAGTAAAATGTGGAAAAAAAAATCTTTATTTTCAGGGTTAGAAAATACCTTGATTTTAACCCCACCCCTCCCCCCCCAGTCCCTGTGTTTCAGTAGCTCATCCTCTGTTTTACTGGAAGATCAAATGTCCTCTGAGGGCAGCTGGTTTCCGTTTGTTTATGGCTATTGTGCGCCTTTCAGTTTCCCAGTTTAGACCAGCTGTGTTGTCCTCAGTGGATGGTGATCAGGGACAGTAATGGTGGTAACATCACTTCTGTATTTTGTTGCAGTTTTTTCTCCAGCTTTTCTGACTTTCCTTACTTGGGGAAACAAAAGCACCAGGGAAAGGTCCCCGCTGCACGCAGTGTGGATGAGCGCCTCGGGTCTGTGCAATGGTGTGGGTTTGTACACACTGCTTTGGAGGTGCCACTCTCACTTAAGGGTCAAGTAGGACAGCAGAGGGGATCCAGTCCCTTTGTGGAGGCCAGAAGTGATGTGGCACCCAAGTGAAGTGAGTGGAGAACTAATTGGGGACTAAACCCTTGGTGAAACTTTAAATGTCTTGTAAATGGTCCTGGACCTCCTTGATCAGGCCGTTAGTGACATGTGGAAAAGAACTCCCTTCCCTGTATCCTGCCAATATTGCCTGTTGGTTGACAGGCTGAAGCGGAACTGCCTTTCACCTACAATCTGCTGAGCTGAAGATGCAGAAATAGAATCAACAAGTAGGATCCCTTTATTTCCTGCTTTAAAAACAGTGGATTAAATTGGAAAGCAGAGAGAGCTTCTGCATGAGCCAATGGACTGTACTGTCACATTTGCCTGTCTGCCATTCCTGAGGGCTGGATCATGAAGTGGGGAAAATGCTGTTGTCTTCTCAGGCTGGGCATGCGTTAAGGTTAGCCTAAGAAGGGACTGGCTTGCCAGAGATGCATTAGAACCCAAAGTCTGCTGTGGTGTCTGTAGCTACTTGTCTTTGCTGGCTGGCAACACAGTTTGAACATTTGGGGTATCAGTTGCAATATTTAGGGGGCTTATTTCCCCTGTGATTTAATGGGGGGCTCTGTATGTTTGCCAAGAAGAGAGGACACCATGCGCATCGGTGGAGACTGCCCTCCCCTAGAAACAGCTGCTGTCTGGTTGAGGCAGAGCTGCTTCTAGTTCATGTCTCACTGCAGTCAGTGGCTATTTAGACTCAGAGGAACTAAAACTGAGAATCTTGGGTGAAAAAGGTTAATGACTTGGTATCTGGGCCAAAGAGCCAGGTGAGAGCTGCCTGTGATAGCCGTTGGGAGAATTGTGCAGGGTGACAATGCACAGGCAGTTTTGTCTCTGGAAGAGCTGGAGTCTAACACTTGTTTGAGTCAAAAGCTCTTGTCAACCTATTTTATGCAATAGAAAGCCCCAGGCAGAATACTCCAAGAGATGGCAACAATGTCTCCGCTCCGCCAGAGTGAGAACAGAGCATCCTCTGTGTGGTGTTTTTCAGCTGGCTGTTCTAAGGGGTGCTTTTTCCACAGAAGTTTTATTCTGATTTTTGAAATGGTGCATGGTTGTTATAAAACACCTGCTAAACCTGAAATCAAAGCCCTCTTGTCATTAAAGTCTTTCCTCCCCAGCCGTTCACTAAAGATCTGACTGGCACATTTCTTTAGGTTTGTAACACTCAAAGCCAATAAATGCAAGAGGAGAAGGTGTCTCCCTTATCTGAAAAAATGTAAGAGACCAGGTTTGCCTGGAAACAGGAAGACATAAAAAACACCCATATGTTTCGTTTGCACACATGTGGAATAACTGTTAAGTGGTAACTGTAAACCACATCACATGACAATTGAGTAAAGTTGGATAGCACTTTCTGAATCTAAGGGCTTGTCTCTGCTACACTCATTTATTAGCTTTTCTGGGAAAAGAAACAAAACCTGCTGGTTAAAGAGCTGCAATTGTCCAGATTGGGCATCTTTTTTTTAATCTGAAGGCTGCATGTTTCAAGCCCAAAGTGCTTAGTGTCTCTCACACCATGAGAGGAACTGTCATCCCAAATGTGGCTGACTATTTAGACTTTGTGGAAAAGTTAAACCCAATCAAAATGTTTTCATGACTTTAAAAATCCTGCAGAAACATGGATGTTAAACCAAGCTCACCTGAAGGGTTTGCAGTCCAACTGTTTCAGCATTGAGAACTGGAAAATGAAACTGACTTCCTTAATTTTTGTTGTTCAAGTTTCAAGCAATGTGTAAAATTAATAGCATAATTGAGGCTTGGAAAATTTTCCAGAGACCAGCTTGCCCAAGGACTAGTCTTTGAAGCCATGGTGAAAAGGTGTGCTGCCCTGCCCATAAAAGCTACTGTTGCCAAAGCCAGGGCTTTGCAATTTACAGTAGTAACAGATCAATGTATTGCATATCATCATGTGTCGCAAGCCAACTTCCTGTTTAATAAACATTTGAAAGGTAGCTTTCTGTCTCTGGTCTTTCTTAGGCCAACTGTTCCAGTTGGGCGTCTCTCCATGCTTTCTTATCAATCCTAGGAGAAGGGGGTTCACAAGTACGACCATGACTTAGGAGTACAGGTCCATGGGAATTCGATAGGATTTGTACTCCTAAATCAGTCAAATGCTTTTGAAAATCCCACCCTTGGATCTTGCTACAATGCTTTGAGTGTAATGCTCCCTCTTTCCCTTCACATCCTTATTTCCCTCTCCTTCCTTCCACTTCCCTGGAGATCTCCCTCTCTGTTTTGTGCAAATGCATTAATACTGAAATCCTCTTGGATTTCTGGGGAAGTGGAAGGAAGGAGAGGGAAATAAGAACAGAGAATTACTTTATAATTTTTTTAATGTATCCCCTCAATCGCTTGCCTTTACCGACATCCACCAGCTTACCCATGTGGACTCACCCACACATACGCACTCGTGGGCACACTTCAAAGCTTGCTGCTAGAAGATCCGTTCCCTCCCGTTAAACGAGTAGTGGCAACTGGGCTGCTTCACTTTCTGACCCTCGTCCTCCATTCTGAGCAAAAAAGCAGCTGCTCCAGCCACTTTTCTCCCTGGCTTTCCTTTCCCTGGCCTAAAATAGCAGTAGTGGCTCAAGGCTGCTTTGTCCTCTTCTTCTACACAACCCTCCTCTGAAAGGATCACTGCCCCTATGCCTATCTGCACCCAGGCTTGCCCCTTCCCTCATGAGAAGGAACATGGAGCTCCAGCCCCTCGGCTTTGTGTCCGTGCTCTGCCTACTCCGCGTTCAGGTAGGTGAGTGTTTTGAGCCCTGAGCATGAATAGCTAAAAGAACATTTAGATTGGAATCTTCTCTTAGTATTAATGCTCTTAGTGTCGATAGAGGTCAGGAAATTGGCCTGTTTAAAACACATTATTTTGGGCCATGCTCTTAATGAAACTGAAATCCCTTCCCGCACCTCGGCTTGTTTTGGCATAGTCTGGTATCACCAGGGCAGCTACCTCTGCCGGCTCCCATCGGCCGGGGTGATGTTACCATGGTAGGGCCAAAGAGAAACTTTCCGTGACCTGGCCATCTATTCTATGGCTACTAGAGCAAGTCAGCTTTCTAGTGGAACTATCTGACCTTTCCTGGGGACTAATTTTGGCATTTTAATTGACTTGCTGAAAACAGGAGAACCAGTCTTGATACTGTAACTGGCCTTCATTTGTTGGAGAGCTCCGTGTGCATCCAGAGCCCTGGAAGGCTTGTATAAAGATTGGCATTGTCTTCTCGCTTAAATGTGAAGGTTCCCTAGAGCAAAGCTCTTGAGCCAGTCACTTTTATGATGGATAGATCTTGAGTCATTTGAAAGTCACTTACTAATTCTGGAGGTAGTCCTTCCTTTAGAAAAAAGTATTCCTAGTTATTTGAGTGTTTCAGAGTGATGAATGATTAATACCTAAGGTGAACTTTTCTTGGCAGCCCAGAGATGTCTCTGAGGTTCTTGAAACAAGTGGAGACTAGCAACTGAATATTTTGTGGGTGGGATGCAGAAGGATTTAAGTAGTGTTTAAAATAGTCCCTTTAATAATCATTCTTATTTTTCCCCTCCCCACCCCTGCCATTGCTCTCTAAAGCATTGCAATCCACTTTTTTTTAATTTGCTGAAAGCAGTTTGTATCAAAGTTACAAGTAACAAAAGAAAATTCCAATTAGCTTCATTTCCTTTTGCACTGGGCAGTCTCTTTAGCTGTCACTTTGTATCCTTGTTTGTCCAGGTTATGGAGACGGAGAGGATGATTTATCTGGTGACAGAATATGCTAGCGGAGGGGAAATATTTGGTAAGTATGTTTATTGCATTCTTTAATCTGATATTATACTTGGTCAACTACAGTAAGCTGAAAATAGCTGCCTCCTATCTGTCCTTCAGCCCTGGAAACTTCCATTGACAAAGGAATAAAGAATAAAATCATTTAACTTACAGGAAAAAAAAGCCATGCCATTTAAAAGGGCATCATCTCCATGTTTTCTCAGGGGGTGGGAGGGGTTCATTCTTATAGAGGCAGTTCCGTTTTTCTTCAGCTGCATGCTGACACTTGAGATTAAAGGTATTGCATAGTGGTTTCAGAACTGCCTTTTAAAGAGGTGCTAAAAACGTCACTTCCTGGCAAGCTGTCATGTGAGATTCTTGGCTGCAGCTGTGATTTTGGTGTTTGATGTTAGTGACGTCTAAGCTAACAGAAAAGGAGTACTTGTGCAGCTCTGCAGTCTTTTATACTTCAAATCTTATGATTTCTGAGATTTCTCATATTTTTGTGACCCGTTAGCCTTGCAATCTAGAGCCTAGAAGTGTCCATTTTAAAACTCCGTTTTTTGCTAACAAAGTTCTAGTTGTTTTCTTGACTAGTGTTTGTCTTAAAACCATATTATATAACTGTCTTAAAATCACAAAATTGTTTTTTACAATGATGACTAATGAAACACCTGATGGTATTTTACTCACATGTCAAAGTTCTTTGCCCCGGGTAACTGAGTCAGTATTTTGCAAGGTTGGTCTGTAGCAGTTTAGCTAGCATGAGTCTCAGAAAAAATCCTTGTTCAGTTTGGTCAGGAAAACAGGTCCAAAAATCACACTAATAACTTTGTTTAAACCCAGTTCTAGGTAACGTTGTTCTCATCTCGGTGTGGAGTGAAATCTAGAGACACGTCTGCTAAAGCCAAAGACTTCTCTTTATTTAGTCTTCACTGACTTGTTCCTGTTCAGTCAATACTGAGGTTATTCTGTCTCCTTTAACGTCAACATTCATGTTTGCCATAAGATAAGAAAAGGCTCTGACTTTGCTGGAGGAGATGTTGCTGTGTAACAAAGGACAAAGCTCTTTATGAAGCAGGGATTCACCAATTCACAGCAAAGTCATTGTGGCAAAATTACAAACTTCATCTGAAAAGTTCAAGTCCTAGTTACGCCAGCATAAAAGCACCTCCTGGGGGCTGAAATCTGCTAAATGCTATACAATTCTTTCCCATTTTATCCTGAATGTTGTTCCTTTTACCTGGATCCCAGGAAAATGCTTTTATTTGAACTCCTGTCGTATGTGGAAGGGCTATAATGTGTGGTAAGCAATAGCTGCTGCCTGAACAGCTTCCTTGCTATTCTTGTACATGTCAGAGAGGGAAGGCAGATGTTTCAGCAGCAAGTAAAGCAATACTTGGCACTTCTATAGTACTTGTTATCCAAGGATCTCAAAGTCCTTGTGGGACTCTTGGGATGTAGGCAAGTATTACTTGCTGCCTACAGCCGAGGAAGCTGAGGCACAGAGATCTTGAATAAATCACTGTGTGGCCTTGGGATGTTGACTGAGACAGTACTCTGGTCTGTGCATTGTCCCCTGCTCTAACTGCTAATCTAGACAATACTACCTCCTTTAGAGAAAGCAAACCAAAAATCTGTGGGTACGTAACCAGAGAATTGAACGATAAATAGCTGGTAACAGTTCTGGTAACCTAAAAAGCGCCTTTAAAAATAAATAAAATAAAAAGTCTAACATCGTGACATTTTCTAAATGTCTTTGTAATTAATAGCTAATGACTCAGTAATAATGGAAGAAACTACATCCATTACTTCTCCCATTATACTCCACTGCTCCTTTGATTCCTGTTTCTCCAAAGAAGGGGCAACTTAAGTAGGGAAGAAGTTATAACTGATAATCAACAAGTATAGATTGTCTGAAAACCTAACTTTGTCCGGCTGAGCCTTCTGTTATCTCTCCAATGCAGCAATTTTCAAATTGGGGGTGGGGGGCACAGCGAGCCTTCTAATTCATGATGGACAGGTGGCCGGGCCAAACTTGCGTGAGTGGCGTTGAGACTCTGAGTGACAGATTTGGGGTGTTTTTATAGTACCACTTGACTTACATTTTGATTTAGGCAACCTGCCTGGTCTCTGGTGTAGAAACGCGTTAGCAGCGCTAGGTGGCAGTATCCTTCTCACTATTATTAAGCGGCAAAGAGTTCTGTGGCACCTAGACTAACCTAACAGACGTATTGGATTCACCCACGAAAGCTTATGCTCCAACATGTCTGTTAGTCTATAAGGTGCCACAGGACACTTTGCCGCTTTTACAGATCCCGACTAACACGGCGACCCCTCTGATACTTGACTATTATTAAGGTGGGTGGCAGACTCCAAGTTTAAAAAAAAAACAAAAAACCGCAAAGGTGGGGGCATGATTCAAAAAATGGTTGAGAACTCCTACTCGAAATATAAGTTGCCATTAATTAAGGAGTGTCGGATGCCCCATAATTCTGCAAACTTGTGAAGTTCAGCTTACTCTTTGTAGGAGGTGCTAATGACAGCAAAGTATTGTGTGTGTTCTTCACGCGCACACAGTGGGAGGCTTTGCTTTTCTGTGGATCACTGCAAAGAGGTAAAATATCTCTTTACTCCCTTCCTCCTGTTGAATTTGGCAGATATAATCCAAGTATTTCCCTTTTATCCAGAACTGTGTACGTACTAGCAAGCTCATATGCAGACTTGGAAGAATTCTGTTGGCTACAAAAATAGCCCTGTAAGTAAATAGAAAGTGAAAATCTAATTGTTTTCTAAAATATTTCATGCTGTAGTAAATTCAGATAATTAGAATTGCTAATTTACAATACATTGCCCCGTACTATATCCTCACTTGTGGCTGACAGCAGATGAATTCAGTAGTCAGTTATGTACTAGACGGTAAATGTCAATTTCTACCTCTATCTAGTAGGTTCTGGCAGTTTTCAAACTTCACACAAGGTCCATTAACTCCCAACTTTATATCTAAGAGAGTGAATCTCAGCAAAGTTTCCTAAGTAGCCAGTGAGACATTTTGTTCTAACATGAGAAGCAATTTATTGTGTGTGTGGGGAGGGGCGGGGAACCAAACAGAAGCCCATGTGGAAAACAATCTTTCCTTGCAATCATTAGCATTTACAACTCTGAAGAGGATCTTGCATCTTCATTTTGTCAAGAGAAATAGTCTGTGTACTGTGGGCTGCCTTCAAATCCCTTTATGCTCTGTGTTTTGGGTCATTCTGAGGCTGGAAATCAGAAGGTGTAAAACAGAACTTTTTGTAGGCAAAATTTGCTTACCAGGTTTCCTTTCATTAAGTATCTGCCGTTTTTGGAGTCATGAACGTCTTTGGAGGAGTCTTCCTTCTCACAACAGCTATAGTGATAACTCCCTGCTATTCATTTACAGTGAAGCTACTGTAAAAAGACTAAGATGTTTTTGGAGAAGGGGAAAGGTTTCACTTATTCAGTGTTTAAAGTGACTTTTAATTTCCGTTGGTAATCCAGCCAAAATATGTGGGTAAGCAGGCTCGGAATAGGCTGCATGCTTGCAGTCCTAACATGATCTCAAGAGCTACGCTTCCTTCCTACAGCCGTATGAGTAGAATATTTTTCCATGCACATAACATGGCAAAAATCACAGCAGGGTACATTGGTGGAACAGCCTCATCAAGAATCACATCTACTGTTATGCAACACCAAGGAGACCCCCTCTGTGCTAAATGTCCATGTTGTGAGATTTTTGATTGCTTGTTTGATGCTTTCTGAGTATCTGTGGCCATACAAGCTAGGTTTTAAAGTGAAACCATTGCACTGAACCCCCAAATAAGGGGGCATAATGTTCTGTATTCAGAAAATTTCAAGAAAGAGAAATCTTGCTCTATATAAGGATCATTTCTGTTGCATAATGTCTGAGGTATTGCATAATACATGTCTGCATACTGGAGGTTTTTCTGTATGTAAAGTGACTTGAAGTGATTTTTGAAGTCTTTATATGGATTTTGAGACGTTTTCCAAAATGTAACATTTTACACAAAGTGAGCATAGGATGCAATTCTTGAACTGGAAAAGGGGTAATAAGTTCTGTAAATGGGTATGGCTCGAAAGGGCGTCAGTATTCAAGAATGTCAAAATTCAAAGCTTAGCTTTTTTTTGTCCTTTATTAGCTCTTCAGAACTATAGTCCTGGCTAGCCCCAGCCAGAGCTGCTGTACTCGTTGACTTGAGCTTTCATTAGACAGGCTCAGTCTGTTCTGAGAAGCCCTCCAAATGGCCCACATGTAAACGAGGTCTTTAATTCAGCTGAGATTGATGTGATCATTCATTTCAAAATGAAACCAGCCAGGCACAACAGTGAGTGGGAATGATGGAGAGCTGCTTGTGGTTTGTTGTAGGGTCAAAGCACTGCAAAGCACATCATTGTGTTTTGTGCCCCGTACACGTTTCGTATGCACATAAGGTGGCAGTTTGACAGTGTGAACAAATACATGTATCTCTTAAAGGTAGGTCACGGTTTTGTTCCACCAGTCTTGACAGCATTCCTTTACCTGAGAGGTCAAACAGATAATAGTCTAAACACATGTTTCAGTTATTTACTCGTTAATATTAACCAAAAGAAATACTCTGCAACCCTCAATTACAAAAATGAAGTTAAGAGATTAGCTTAAAATAACTCACAAGATTCTTTTCTTCAAATATTTACTATTAATAATACCTAGCTCTTACATGGGGCTTGCCATCAGCAGATCTCCACAGCAATTTCTAAAGCTGGTGAAATATCATTATCCCCACTCTACAAACAGAGAAACTGAGGCACACAGAGAGAAGTGACTTTCCCAGGTTCTGAGCATGTCATCGGCAGAACCAGGGCTAAAACCCAACCCCCCAGGTCTTGTGCCCTTATCCATGGTCATCTTATTTGTTGACGTAAGATAGGTGGATGATATGGCGGAATACTTTGGAACTGTCTGACTTTTCCAGTTACAAGCTTGTGTTCTGATTAATAGGATTTATCTCA